GTAATGACTAAAGCAACTCCTAGCTGGTGCCCCCACCTCACCTGGAGAAACTGCTAGCATCTCAAGAGCTCTTTGTGTTACCTTTTATAAACTTAACATACCACACAAATAGGAAAGAGTACTTCAAATAACATGGTTTCACATCATGAATTCAATAAGCAATTGGTTAATTTACAAATAATTATGAAATATATTTTTCCTGAAACAAAAATCAAAAAAGAATACACTATGGTGGGCAATAATGCATAAGATTTGAAAAATATATTGTCCTTCAATTTCCATGMATGCATAAATTTGTCATAATGAACCCAACAACTATGTATAACCATTAATATTTAAATAAATAAAAAAACATTTAAAGAATATATATTATCCTGAAAATACACGACATAGAAGCCCGTGATTACCACAATTTAGAAGACAGTAGGCCAAATCCTTCTAACCTCCAGATTCAATACAATGAGGACATTCACACTAACTAGTCCCAATATATTTCTTGGAAAGTTGCAACACAGAGGAAATAAAAAAAGAAGAGTTTTAAAATAMACAGTACTGAACCTAATACTACCCCAATGCCTGACCAGAAAGACCCTCAAGGTTTAAATAGCTCAGAGTTAGACTGAGGTGAGTGTTCAGGCTTTGATCTTGATTCACAGCAACTCCAGATCTATGTTGACTCCAAACAAAACAAGGGAAGCAATGATAAAGGCCCTAGCTGTGATGATACATCATTTAAGAGGCTGCCAGGAGTTCTGACGCAGGACTTCAGATTCAATGATGGCCTGTAACAAGTTCCTGCTTCAAGGAGTCATGAGTAGTGAGTAGGCTTCATAGACCAGCACTGGAAGAATCTAAGGGGCCCTGAGCTAATTTCTCTGTGAGCCTGTCTTCTCATCCATAATACTGAGAAGTAGAAATCGCTGTTACTATTTCTCAATCCCATTAACATAGAGTTCACTGATTTTATTCATTTATTTTGTAAAAGTGTATCCTCAACATTTACAGCCCAAAGATGTGAGGTCCTCTAAAGGGACCTCTGGTCAACTGTAGAAGTCAGAACCTTAACTGAAACAGGAAAGACCTTCTAGAACCAAAACCAAGAAAAGACTATCAGGGCCTCTCTCAAAGACAGAGTGATAAATGGGTAAATAAAACTAGAGGGCTCTAGGATCTGTAAAAACCATTGCATTAATATCACAGATTGTTGTCCTTTAACCTAAAGTCAACAAAGATTGGAAGATCCATGTCTACTACTGGACATTACCACAGATATCAAGATTGGTATACCAGGTTGTAAAGAAAAACTCCCAAAAGTTATGTGAAAAGAAAAGGCTACCACTAAAAAAACACAGGAGATTTTTTTTTTTCTTGTAAATTTGGCATTTGAGTGGACTGAGTAGTACAGGTAGAACTTTGACCAGCTGGAGTTGTACATCCAAAGGGCATTACAGGCAGAACACAAGTAATGGCACCAAAACTAAAAGCCAGGATTACAGTTTAGTGTGCTGGTTCACATGGATGCTACTACTAAAATGTGGGATCAAATCACAACATCCTGGATTATTTGAACTTGGACATCAGCTGCATGAACAATCTTAAGAGACAGAGACACTCCATCAAAACATTGTTTTACTATTGTCGCTTAAAGAGCAAACGCTGTCTTTTGTCTAAATTTAAATATCTTCCAACATTTAATAAATAAGATTAATTTCTTTAATAGTATTCTAGTTTGGCTAATAAAAAAAGATAATCTTCATTAAGAAGACTGGTCAAAAAATCACCCAGAAAGCAAATTAATCTATTTGTCAGTCTGTTTTATTTCATATATTCTAATYATAATTATTAAAATAAGCAAAGTTTAGAAATAAATAATAGTTATTTTTAAATTTTCTTATTTTGCAAGCTAATTTCTACTTTTTAAAAATATATTTCTAAAAAAGAGAAATTACACCACTGAGCTGACCCAAGGACTTCCTTAATTATAAGAACAAACTCTAGTTGCCACCAGAAACTATGAGCCACCAAACTCTAAGCAGTATTCCCACACTTCTAAGCATAAGGTTAAAGCTGGGAAAATAGTAACAAATTTTAAATTCTCTTTCAAAAATTTCTGAAATTATAACTTTAAAAAGTCATTTTTAAATCATGCTCTTCTAACAAAAACCAAGGATTCATCCAGAGAGTTTACACCTACTCATTACTCAGAAAAGGGAAGAAAAACAAAGCAAAGGGTTATTTTAGCCCAAGAAAAAGCACTGTCTCATCTTTTTTTAAAAAATTACCTTTTAAGAGTTTATGGGCAGTACATTCTAGATGCTAAAATATTATATTTTATATTTATATATACAGAAATATTGTGGGATAGTCAAGAAGGTAGAGAAGAAAAAAAATGGGCTGAAAATCAGCAGGGTTATAACTGCCATCAGTTTGTACACTATGTTTTGTTCTGGAAATCAATGAACTTCTCTGGGCCTTCACAGCTCCACCTTTAAACTAAAGGTCAAATCACACAATCTCTAAAATGCCACAACATGAAACAAAGTTTAAATAACAGAGATATGCAGTTGCTATTACATATTCAAAGAAGCAAGGGGTGAAGCAGAAGGAAGTTAAGATTTCAGAGTAAGGCTAATGAGCTCCATCGTAACCAGCTGAGTGGCCTTAAGAGTAACTTTCCTGTACTCTTGAAAAGGTCTAATATTTACCTTTGCAAGATGGTGGAAGGATCAGAATGTATGCAATGTACTTGGCACACTGTATGCATTAAATAAAAGCAGACAGAGCATCCCTGGTCAGTAATATCTACTTAACCAATTAACGCAGTTTCCTAGAGCTTGGCTGGGATASAGCAGACTGACAGTGCTTTCCTAATAGAAAGAAGGTAAAGATAATAAGGAAGAAGATTCATGGTTAGGAGATAAAAGTAGCCCTTGAAGATAAACAAAGGCTTTGAGTCCTATACATAATAACAATGAAGAAACAACTACATGGACATTCTTTTCATTAAAAAGACCCCTGGAAGAAGAAAGAAATATATGCATACATATACGTATGTTATGTCTATACATACACACATATAATAAACAATAATTCATAGTATATTATGCAATATAAAATATATATTACATATATAACAACTTCATAACCAAAAGGCAGAAAGTTGGTCAGAACTTATGAATGCCTCTAAACAAGAACAAGGACTCTGAGATAGAAATATAGATATAGATATAGATAGATAGATATATACATCATCTTTCCTTAACATGTCTGCAACTCTCACAGCAGATTCAGATGATACAGCTCCTGCCCACCTCTCCAGTATCCCCTCCTATCACTGTCCCCCCACATCACCCTCCCATAAGTTTATTCTGCTCTAGCCATACTAGCTTCCCTTCATCCTCAGAACATGCCAAACTCATTCTTTCTTTAGTTTTGTTTTTTTGCTTCTGTTTTTGTTTTTGCACTATTAGAGAAACTTCCAGATCTTCTCATGGCTGACTCACTCTAAACATTCAGTTACCACCCCAACCATCACCTCCTCAGGAAAATCTTCCCCACAGGTAAATTTGCCCACACCCCCCGCAGTACCCCAGAGTTCCTTCCCCTGTAATATATTCTCTAACATTTATTACTACCTAAAGTCATTTTTTGGTTTGCATGTACATTGTATCTCCATCAAAAGATAAGATCTTTGAGGTGAGGGACCTCATCTAAACTGTTCATTACTCAATCCCAAATACCTGAAACAATGGGTAGCCCAGACAGATACTCATCAGATGAAACTGTCCAATGAATAAATTCAAAATTACACCAATCACCTTTCCTTCTATGAAAATAAGTAGTCATCAGAAGCCATAAAGTTTATTTCTTTAATGCAATTTCTATAATGCAATAATGCAACTTTAAAAGGTCCATGTTAGAGATGGTAAGATCTTAAAGAGAATAAATGCTTCCTGACAATACAAAATATTATATATTATATTATACAGTTTGTATATATTGTATTCTATATATTATACATTACATATTTTCATTTCATGTACATTAATTACCCACTACTTTATTATCAGAATCCATAAATAAAGCACAGATATGGTAAGTTGTTTTGTTTCATCAAATCTTGCTTCTAGATAGAGAGATGGGCAGATGGACTATAGATGGTAACTACCTTTTAGAAACCTTCCACACAAAGAAATCTGATATAACACACTGAACTAACTCCAGTGTATTTAGAAATTAGACCTGTTACTTTGCAAGCTCACTGAACGTATCCAAACTATTTATGAGTCAAGAGATTTATTCAAGTAATTCCATCTGTGAAACAGAAGATAAATGAATGATGAACAATTGCTGTATTAAGAGAATGATAAGAAAAATGCCACAGTGTTAACCCATGTTTGAAATAATAGGGAAAAAAAACCCTTCCTAAATCTAAACCAAAAGAAAACATGCTACTTATATTTAAAAAAAAAAAAAAATTGCAAAATGAGTGGGCAAAGCAGTGAACTGAAACCATCTTCAGAACAATCATGACTCAGACTTCAATCTTTATTTTGTTTTGTTTTGAACATGGCCTTTCTTGATGAATACAAGAGGCCCATAAACGACTGTGTCTGGACAACYCACGCTTCACCCCCTAGTCACCATCCTTGGTCATTCTTCAGGGCCCACGGCCCAATATGGGAATGGACCCCACAAGGGCCTCGCTAGGGCCCGCGAGGTGAAGAAATGGAGACCTCACTACCCGAATCCGTCCCTAAATCCCTGCCCTGGGAGCAGTGGGTCTTRGAAATCTGCAACTTCACTTTTGTATCCATTATATACACATGCCTTGCCCCTCCTCCTTCCCGGGTGGATCTCGCAAGGGCTCCGTAAACAGAAGGAAACTACAGGGTTATGGCCTCCGTCTGCTGGACTCTCCAAGAACCCAGTTAGGTGGCCTGACCTAGGGGACTCAGTTTTCGAACCTGTCAAACAGGGTGACGCGAAACCCAGCCTACCTCATCGGGTGGTTCCGGGCCGGCCGCCCCAGACTGGCCCGGAGACAGTGGCTCAGTGGTCGCGCCCTCCAGGGATCTCCGGGGCGGCGGGGTGGGGCTCGGTGGGGCGGGACCAGGCACCCAGCCCAGCAAGCGAAGCGCAGCCCACCGCCCGCAGCCAGCCGCCCTAGGAGCTCCTCGAGTACCCGGCCGTGACGTCAACACGCTGACGTTCACGCACAGAAGCCGCATCTTGCTCCAGGGTCCAAAGACTGAGTGCTTGGCAAGCTCTAGAGAAACTACTCGATTGGACAGAATATATGTCAGTCATCTACTGACCAATAAGCGACAGGGGAAGACCGGAGACGGGGAGCTGGACTGCCCTGAGGAACGGGTGGGAATCTGGGACTCTGACTTTGAAAATCTTGAGCTGGTTGGGCTTTCCCGCAATTTGTACTACATCGTTTTAATTAGTGTTTGCTTTTTTTTTTTTTTTTTTTTTTTTTTTTTTTTTTTTTTTTTTTTTTTTTTTTTTTTTTTCTTTTTTTTTTTTCCACTTTTTTTTCAGTCACTTGGTAGGGATATAGCCCCTGGGCTCGTGGAAAACAATCACAGGGAGGATTTCGGATCCTCTGGACACCTCCCATTGATCCTCTTCTGTACTGAAATAGGGCGTCCCACTTCTGTGCCAGTACTGTGTTCGATCCACTTTGAATTCTCAAGTCCTCCAGACCTATTTAGGAGACATTTTCTCTGTGAGTCTATTGCATAACATCTCTTACTTATAGTTATATCTAACTATATGTGTATGTTTCTTTTCCACGAGATTGGGCATCACTTATTGTTTTATTTAGACTAACTTTGCTTTTTCCCCTAATAGATGCTACAGTTACATCATTCAAATTTTTTACAGTTACAATGGGTAGACAGTGAATATTCTTCACATCTCAGTTGCCACTGGAGTCAACCGGTATTGCTGATTTTTTGGATATTCTTCCAAAGTCATTCTGAGTGCTATTGTTGATTTTAAATTACACAAGTGAAATAATATCAGTTCATTTTTTTTTACCGTTACGAATTACTGAATAACATTTTCAGGCACTAATTACAAACCCATTCCTTAGATGATGACTCCTAGTTCTTGTGTAGAAGTTTTTGTTTTCTGTACTCAACATTAAGATCTTCCCATATTTATATATAAATCTACCTGACTTTTAAAAAATGCTCTAGGGCTGGGGTTATGGCTTGGTAGTAATGCACTTGCCTAGCATGTAAAAGGTCCTGGATTCAAGCCCAACCACTGCAAAAATTTATGAATGAATGAATGAGTGAATGAATGAATGAATTGCTGTATGTTACTTCTCAGGACCAATATATGTACAATTCAATTTACATTTCCCCACCCTCAGACATATAGTTTGCTTCATTTTATTATTATTACTAAAATAATAATTCATTAAATGTGTGTAGGTATCTTTCTGTAATGTCTTGTACTTATGTACAAGTATTTTCTAGGATAGAGAAACCAATAAGTGAATATACTGCATCAGAGAATATGCACATTTTGAATCCTAGTAATAGAGTTCCTCAATTTGCCCCAATTTGTTAGATTTGCTCCCCTAAGTAGTTTGTATAACTTATGTACTTAACATTCCTTTCCTGCATCCTTAGGAAAACTGATAAAAATGCAATTATATTGTTGTTATAAATAGGTATGAAAATTGTTTTAAGGATAACATATGAAAAAGAAAAACAATAATCTTAAGTATATAGCTTGGTGACAAAAGGAACCAACATGTGTAACCACCTCCCATTTCAAGATTTTAAATGTGTATTAGCAATGTAGAAGTTTTTTCATGCTCAGTCTTACTCAACTGTACACACAAATAGCCACTCTTCTGAATACTACCACCAAAATTAGTTTTGTCTTTTTTTCAAACGTTTATAGACACAAATAGTATGTACTCTTGTAGCTCTTCTTTCTTAGTATTATATTTGTAAGGTTGATCTATATTAAAGAATGTAGGAGTACTTCAATCATTTTCATTTTTGAATGTAATTCCAAAATTTATTTCTCTGTTCTACTATTGCTTGACATTAGGTTATTTAAATTTTGAGGTAATTGTAGCTACAAATGATACTGCTACAAATATTCTTGTACCTGACTTTTGATGCACATAATACTAATTTAATTTTGGTATGTTCTAGGAGTAGTATTACTGTGACAGAGCATATGTGTATGTATTCAGCAGTAAAAGACCCTGCCACATATTTTTTTGATTGCACAAATTTACAGGCCCAGTAGCAATGAATGAAAATCCAGTTGATCCATTTTTTTTTATTTTCAGAATTATCACACTATAAAATTAAATGTCCAATATTCAACAAAAAAAAGGATTACAAAACAAATAAAGAAAAAGTAAAGTATGGCCCATTCATAGGAAAAAAAGAAATCAACAGAAACCATCCCCAGGAAAGCTCAGACATTGGTCTTATTAGTCAGAGACTTAAATCAATTGTGTTTAGTTTTTTTCAAAGACCTCATGGAAGCTATGAATAGAAAAACTGAAATAAACAAGGAGAATGTTGTGAACAGACAATATCAATAGAGATACAAATTATAAATGAAACCAAATAGAAAATCTCAAGCTTAAAAGTACAGTACCTAAAGTGAAAAATTCACTAGAAAGTTCAATAGAGGAGTTTAGCATATCAAAGAAAGAATCCAGGAACTTAAAAATAGAAAAATGGAAATTATTCAGTCATAGCAGGAAAAAAAACACAGCAATAAATGAAAAATGAACAAAACCTAAGGAAACTATGGAGCATCAACAACAAAATATTAGAAATACTAGTCATAGCAGTTAGGCAAAGCAAATAAATTGCATACAAATTAGAAAGAAAGAAGCAAAATTCTCTATTCACAAATAGCATGATCATGTATAAAGTCCCAAAGAACTGAAAAAAAAAAAAAAGAACAACTGAATTTAGCAAAGTTGCATGTAGTAACACATAGAACTCATGTGCTTCTGAATCTGAAAAGGAAATTAAGAACACAGTATCATTTACAAAAACACCCCCCCTCCCCAAAAAAAAGAAAATACCCAGGAATAAATTCAACAAGTAGAAAGATATTATACTGAAAACCACAAATTATACTGAAATAAATGTCAATTCTACATAAGTAAGATTATTTCACATATCCATGAGTTGGAGACATGTTTTTAAGCTAGCAATAATTCTCAAAACCGTTGATAATTTAAAATTTTTTGCTGTACTCTGAGATCCTATGTAGCAAACTGAAATCTGATGTGGAGGGCTAGGATTCAGCTAATTACAGGCAGCCAACAGAGCAAGCCAGTTGAGGCAAACAATTCCAACCAATCAGGATATTTCTGTTCTTCATTTCTTTGTTCTATCTATAAATATTTACTGTCTATACTGCAGAGCTATGGTCTGAATGCTACCCAGAATTGAATCATTCTTTCTCAATAAAACTGTTAAATTCCTAAAAGGTTTTATTTTAATATCATTTATAGATTCAGTGCAATCTCTTACAATGGCATCTTTACAAAAGAGGAATAGCTAGCAGATCTTCAAATTCACTTAGATTTTTAAGAGGACCCGCATAGCTAAAACAATCTTGAAAAAAAGTAACAAACATGGATAATTCATACTTTTCAATTTTAAAACTTGCAACAAAGCTACAGTAACCAAAGATTCATGGTTGTGGCATAAAGAGACATGCAGATCAATAGAATAGAGTTGACAGACTAAAAATAAACCTTCCAAGTATGACCAACTGATTTTTTGACAAGGGTACAAAATGGGCAAAAATATAATCTCTTCAACTAATGGTACTGGGACCACTACACATACACATGCAAAATAATGAAATGGACCCCTATCTCATTCCATAAATGAAAATGGGCTCAAAATAAGCAAATGGTCAAAATATAAGAGCTAATATTAGAAGAACAAATAGGAGTTAATTTTTTTTTTGGGGGGGGGCGCGAGGAGTGAGGGTTATCAGGGATTGAATTCAGAGGCACTCAACCACTGAGCCACATCTCCAGCCCTATTTTGTATTCCATTTTTAGGCAGAGTTTCACTGAATTGCTTAGCACCTCTCTTTTGTTGAGGCTGGCCTTGAACTTGTGAYCCTCCTGCCTTAAGCTCCCGAACTGCTGGAATTACAAGCGTGTACCACCGTGCCCAGTGGAGTTCAACTTTTTCCCTTTTTCAGTACTAGGGATTAAACTCAGAGGTGCTTAACCACTGCCACATCCCCATCCTTTCTTATATTTTATTTAGAGACAGGGTCTTGCTGAGTTGCTTAGTGTCTCACTAAGTTGCTGAAGCTGACTTTGAACTCTCTTTCCTGAGCTGCTAGGATTATAGGTGTGTGCCACTGTGCCAGGGCTATTTGTTAATCTTCATTCCTTGGATTTGGCAATGGACTCTCAAATATTAAAACAGATTCATTCACAACGGCAACCACAAAATTAGATAACTTGGATTCATCAAACTTAAAAACTTTTATATATCAATGAACATAACCAAGAAAGTGAAAAAACAACCAATAGAATGGGAGAAAATATTTTACCCTTGAGGATAACCTTGATTGAACAGAAACTACAAGTCTCTGAATATTCTAAACAGATAAATCACTTGGACTGAGAGGATCTGCAGTTGGTCATATAAGGAAAGGAGCGGGGAACACATTTTATTCCACCATTTTCCATGCAATCTTTTTGTTATTTATTAATTTGCAACTAAAATACTTTAAGGAGTTTGTCTAGAACAATCCTTTTAATATCTTAGTAATTAAACAAATCACTAGACCACATTACAATAAAGTTTAAAACCTGGGATAGCTAGCTTCAATTTTAAAAGAAAAACACACAAGTCCTAGAGGAGAATGCAATAGTGGATGTCTATTGAGTAGCATGGGTTCTGAGGCAAGTGGAAACATGGTCTGATATGTAGATTTCAATGCTAGTTCATTCTTTTTAGTGAATAGAATGCAGATTCCTATAGAACTTATTGAAAAGGCAGCTTCAGCTGCAGGAAATTAACTATCAGAAGTAGAAAACACAAAATAAAATATGATTTATGAGCCCACAGCTAATGTTAGAACTACATAAAATTTTGCCAACCCAAATCATCAGTGAATTTGGTCATTTCCATCCTGTTCTCTCCTT